CCCACACCTGTGTGTGTGCATCCCCCTGTGACCCCCTCACACCTGTGTGTGCATCCCCCTGTGACCCCCTCACACCTGTGTGTGCATCCCCCTGTGACCCCCTCACACCTGTGTGTGTGCATCCCCCCGTGACCCCCCACCTGTGTGTGTGCATCCCCCCGTGACCTCACACCTATGTGTGTACATCTGCCCGTGACCCCACACCTGTGTGTGCATCCCCCTGTGACCCCACACCTGTGTAGGCATCCCCCCCGTGACCCCATGCCTGTGGGCGAGGCGGCAGGAGCCTCCACACAGCCGGGGCTGCCCCAGGCCCACGGGCAGTGGCAGTGGCAGCGGCTCACAGGCTGCCATGTGTCCTCACCAGCTGGCCCCTCTGTCCAGTCGCAGGTTTGCAGCAGGTTCCTCTTCCTTTCACAAACATTTTATTTTAAGAATCACTCAAGGATGAAGGGAAAATACTCAGAAAATGACGGACTTAAGCCCAACAACAGAAAGAGCCATGAGGGGACTGTTAACTGTCCTTTCACTCGGAAAGTACCTGTGCATGGGGCCGGCGCTGTGGCTGAGCGAGCTAAGCTCCGCCTGAAACACTGGCACCCCATACGGGCGCCGGTTCTAGTCCCGGCTGCTCCTCTTCCCATCCAGCTCTCTGCTGTGGCCTGGGAGAGCAGTAGAAGATGGCCCAGTCCTTGGGCCCCTGCACGCATGGGGGAGACCTGGAAGAAGCTGCTGGCTTCTGAATGGCACAGCTCCAGCCAATATGGCCATTCAGGGAGTGAACCAGCAGGAGGAAGACCTTTCTCTCCTCTCCCTCTGTCTGTAACTCTACCTCTCAAATAAATAAATAAAATCTAAGAAGGAAGGAAGGAAGGAAGGAAGGAAGGAAGGAGAGAGAGAGAAAAGTACCTGTGCAACCAGTCCATTCTGAAAACCTACAAGCATCAAAAGAGAACACCAAAAACCCAGCATCGCTGCCGTAACCTCTGCTGGAATGAAGCAGAGGATAAACAAATAAATAACCACGTAAATACACGGATAAGTTATATGGAGAGCAACGTGAAAACTGGGGGCATCTGGGAGCAGGGGAAGCCCCTCCCCTAGAACTGGGAAGCTGGACTCACGGTCGCCACCCCACCCTGGCCCTCCGTGCGTCCAGGGCCAGCAGCTGCCCCTGAGGCAGCCACAATAAAGACTCTGGGCTGGGTGGGGGCAGCAGCGGGCCCCCACCAAGCCCTGACCTGGGTAGGGGGGGCAGCCAGGCGGCCGTTTCCTGGCTGCACGGGCCCGAGGCGCCCAGGGCTGCGTCGCGGTCTGTAAAGCGCTCAGGGAGGCCCAGGGCTGCATCGCGGTCTGTAAAGTGCTCAGGGAGGCCCAGGGCTGCATCGCGGTCTGTAAAGTGCTCAGGGAGGCCCAGGGCTGCGTCGCGGTCTGTAAAGCGCTCAGGGGAGGCTGCCTCACCTGGGTCCCATCCCCGCCAACAAGAGCGAGGGAGCTGCGGCCAAGTGCGAGGCCCTCGGAGCAAGCGGCTACGGCCGTGGCCAGCGGCCTGCGCTGTCACAGAGCAACGTCCGGGCAGCTATGGCGTTTCAAACGACAGTCTCCACGTCCGCGTCGCTGGGCTTTTAACCAGCAAGGGCTGGCTGGAGCGGAGAGCGCGGAACCCGTGCTCTGCGAGTGAGGTCGTCTGCAGCCTGCACACACCTCAGCCCGGGCCATCAGGAAGGGCCCCGCTCGGGATCTGAACACCTAAACACACTGCCTCCCTGGCCAGGCCGGGACGAGGCCCCGCTGTGACACGCTCAGCTCATTCTCCCAGGGACCACGAGGACATGGCCGGATCCCTGAGAAGCAGACGCTGCACCGAGCACAGGGCCACGGCACGCCCCGCCTCCCGTGCCCAGGCTCGCTCCGCACAGCCCGCAGCATTCCCAGGCGCCGCGTCCCGGAGGTCGGAGGGCTGAGGCTGGGAGCACCCCGCGCAGACTCAACGTGTCCTGTGAGCCGACACCGCTCACCTGGAGAGGGCCTGGCTGCCCCCACCTGACCAGAAGGGCAGCAGGAAGACACAACCAGGAAACCAGTGAAGAGCCGAGTGAAGTGAACGACCCCTCGTGCTGAAAGCCCTCTGGGCCCCGACGGAGGACAAGCCCGACCCATCTCCCGCAGCAGAGGGCGCCTGCCCAGCGGCCAGTCGCTATCCACCCCAGCCCCCCTTGCGTGCAACAAAGAACACACCCAGTCTCTGCTGGGCCAGCGGCCCTGACGTCCTCGGCTCCCCACGCAGCAGTGAGGAGTCCTTCCCGACACAATGGGGGCCCCAACCGAGGCTCCCCACAGGAGCAGCAGGAGGCCAGCCCGCACGCAGACAACGATCAGAGCTCAACACCAAGCCACTGCAGCCACGTCAACGCCCCGGCGTCTGCATTCTCCCACTGCAGCCACGTCAACACCCCGGCGTCTGCATTCTCCCACTGCAGCCACGTCAACGCCCCGGCGTCTGCATTCTCCCACTGCACCAGCCAACACGTGTGCAGCCTCAGGACAGCACGTGTGCTCGTGGGTCCAGCACGCACCCATGTGCACAGAGCCCAGCCATCACGCACCCATTCCATCCCCAAGCCACACAATTTAACATCCAGACGCTCGCTGTCTGGGCAGCTAAAACACTCAGTGACGCTGATAATCAATGAAACAGTACCACCAGTTCAGCTTTTACAGACTGGAGTAGATCTGCAGCCCGCCCACTCCTAAATGCATCTCAAGTGCACAATCCTGACAAGGCTACATGGCAGGGCCTTCAAGGCACCAAACGTGGCTTCACCTGAAATACAGGCAGCTGGGCACGCCGAGGCTGCAGCACTGGCCCTGCTGACACCCGCCTGGCTGCACAGCCCTGGGCAGGAGAGTGAGGCCCGCCTACAAAGCCAAAGACACCTGCCCTGACAGCCCAGGTGGTCCCTCTCACCAGGCCAGGGGAAGGCCCTGCCCTCACGGCTGCCTGCCCGTTAGATTCTGAGCAGTTGCTGAGACGCAGGCCTCAGAGAGTAAAGAGCCATCACCGCCCAGCGGACGGCTCGGAATCATCAGAGACACTGAGCTTCCTTCCCGGGCGTGAAGGCCCTCCCTTCCTCCGTCAGAGCAGGCAGTGACTGCTGTTGGAATGGTCGAAACGCGGGCAGCCGGCTCCCGGCCAGCTCAGGGTGGCCTCCGGAAAGCCACCGCTGCCTGGACGCTCCTGACGCGCACCTGCAGCGGGGGCAGGGCGGGCCCAGCGCGGGAACTGTGCTGTGGACTCTGCGCAGGCGCTGCGGCTCACAACTGACGCAGAGGCTGGCTCCGAGAAGCCACCGAGCACGCTCAGCCAGGAAACCGTCCTGGAAGACAGAGACCCCAGGACAGAGCGGGGCTCTGCAGTGCAGGGGGACGTGGGGCAGGAAACGCACGGGGTCCTCCCCCCAGGAGCAGCTAAGCAAACCAGCAACTCAAGAACTGAGCCTTGGTTCTCCACTTCTTTTTTTTTTAACCAAAACTCCCTTTCATTTAGATACTAGGAGGCTTTAATCAAACAATAAAACGAGAAGTAAATAAATAAATAGAAGCACAGTTCTGGAAAGCGCTAGGAGTCCTCCCTAGCGGGAACATCAACGCAGCTCCACCTGCGGCCCACACTGCACACGTCTCACGGCCGTCACCAACACACAACTGCGAAACCCAAAGCGCACACTCGGGAAGGACAAAGTTAAGTTTTGTCTGAGCTTCTAGGCCAACAAAGACCCAAAGACTGCTCAATGGCCCGAGCACCTGCCATGGATTACAACCCGTGAGACCAGGGCCGGACGGGATACGTGGGCAGCACAGGGTACGGTCCCCAGGGTGAGTCAGCGTCGGCTTCCTCCGCGGACCGCCCTCCTCCTCCTGCAGCCAGCGCTGTGCTCGGCCTCACTCATAGAGCAGGAACTTCTTCATGGGGTCTGGCAGAGGCAGCACAGGAATCAGACGCAGCCGCCGCTTGCCGAGAGCTCTCCTCACGGCCACACGGCACAGGCTCAGCAAGGTCCTGGGAACACCTGCAGAGCCGGGGGGAGAACAGCAGACACACAGGCGGAAGGTCAGTTCCCGTCCCCAGACACACAGGGGGAAGGTCAGTTCCCGTCCCCAGACACGCAGGGGGAAGGTCAGTTCCCGTCCCCAGACACGCAGGGGGAAGGTCAGTTCCCGTCCCCAGACACGCAGGTGGAAGGTCAGTTCCCGTCCCCACCCTGAAGACCAAGGCAGCTCCGAGCGGCGGTCAGCACAGCACTGACGCGCGCCCACCTCCCACGTGAAGTCTGAAGAGCGGGCCCTCGCGAGAACAGCCCTGTCACGGCTGCTGCCACCTGACCGCACAGGGCCTTGCCCATCATCAGCCGCTGCTCTGGGTCAGCACCACAGGCCCCGAGGGACCCCGGGGTGCAGGCTGGGGGGGCTGGGGCGGAGCAGGCTGACGGCACGGCTCCAGGTCTCCAGGTCTCTGCTCTGGCTGTGAAAGGGCACTGAGGGCACCAGCTATGGACACTAGCGGCTGCGTGGGGCGGCTAAGCACAAGCACATTCTGATGACTGGGCAGGCGATCCACTGCAACGTGGACTCCTGACACGTTACTGGGTGCCCTCAAGACCTAGGCAGGTCTGAGGCGCGTGGACAGGTGGTCCCACAGGACACACGGGTCAACTTCTGAACCCCAGAGACAGGCCACAGGCCAATTCCACTCTCGCCTTTGACATAGTAAATCCTCAAAATCTTCATAAATAAGCAAACTACGGACTTCACGGTGTCTGAGTGGGACTGAGGAAAGGGGGCTGAGAACAGGAGAGCCCGGGGCTCCGCGTGGGCCTGGCCTCCCTGAGGGGCAGCGGGCACACCGCTCTCTAGCGGCCTGCGCTCAGACCGCGTGTGCTGCACGGTTCACAGCTTCCTGCGGTGTCCAGAGGCTCAGAAGGAGAAGCCACTCTGAGGGCCCCCTGGAGACCGCCACTCCCAACGAGAAGCCGGCCATGCACTTGGCTGGAACTGGCTGTTCCAACGCCACACCACTCAAGCGACGCCAACAGTCTACACGGCAGAGGTGGACTCGGGCCACTCACTCCGGGCCTCTCTGAAGACCTGCAAGGCCTCGGGGTCCACCTTCCTCCTGCTTCTCGACTCCGGGCCCAAGGGCTCCCACTTCACCAGGTTCAGGTCGGCCCCGAACTCCACCAGCAGGCTGACGAAGGCGGCCTCACAGCCGTGGCGCAGGACGGCGTCCAGGACGCAGCCCGGCGAGCCCCTGCAGAACTCCTGGGTGTTGACCGGGCCGTTGCAGTTGAAGTCGGGGTTGGCCCCGGCCTGCAGGAGCAGCTTGAAGCACTGAAGGTTGTGGTAGGCTGCGCTGATGTACAGGGGGCACACCACCAAGGAGGTGAGGCGTCGCGAGAAAGACGGCCGCGCGTCAGCGGTCAGCTGGTGGTTGATGTCCACGTCGGCCCCGTACCTGCAGGACACGGAGGGACAAGCAGCAGACTGAGCCCAGCCCAAAGAGTCCCATGGCCACCCTAGAGGGAGGCCCACTGCAGGGACACCGTGGGGAGTGGACGCTGGGCAGCAGGGGCTCCACCAATCACGGGCTGAGAATCACTGGATCCTGTCACCTCCCCAGATGGCACGGGCAGCCATGTGCCCAGCATCCACATTGTACTAGGTACCTCAGGCAACCCAGAGAAGAGTCAAAGCACACGTGAGGATGTACGTAAGGAACAGGACTTGAGCGTCCACCAATCCCGGTATCCTCCAGGGTCCTGGAACCAATCCCCCCGGGTCCCGGGAGACAGCAGCTTCGTTACTCCCATCAAGAGGAGGCAGCGGGTAAGAACGTGGAGTCCACTCACGAAAAACCCCCAAGGGACGTCTTTCAATCCTTGAAATATCCAATAATCCCAAGGTTATTCAAATTATTTCAGAACAAAGAAAAAGAAGGCAAATGCCTAAATCCATCTTACGAAACTAGCACAACAATAATACGAAAGCTGGGAAAGGCCGGATACACACAGAAACTACCCACTAACTTCTCTCGTGGGTATCAACGTTTAAACTGTCAATAAAACACGAATACAGAGAATACTTAGAGAGCAATGCTCCCTGACCTCACGGGGGGGGGGGGGGGGTAGCTCTTACTAAGAGGATCGTCTCACGGGTCATCCGAGAATGCGAAGGCAGCTCCAATATCAGACTCTCACTAACAGAATCCATCACAGTGATGGGACCCAGGAGGAACTCCTCTAATTATCGCCACAGATACATCCAAAGTGTTGACAAAACTCAACACTTGCGCATTTACAAAACTCAGTAACAGGAAGGAGGGCCATGTCCTTCACGTGATGCGGGAACGCCAGCGGAGCACGGCACACAGCTCCCTGGCCTCGCGCCCAGCGCGGGCTGAAGGGGCCCGGCCAGCGCGGGCAGGCAGAGGCAGCGGCTGGAGAACCGAGCGTGGAAGGGAAGACAGAGAGTGTTCCTGATTTTCAGAAGATACAGCCGTAGGGCTGAAATGACAAGTCCCAAATAAAAGGAAAATACAAGCCATGAGAGAACTGACTGAGGTAGCACATTGTACAATCAATAGACTTTATAAACACAAGCAGAAACAAGCTCAGAGAAAAAGTGTAAGAGAAGACCCCATTTATGATAGCAAAATAAAGTTTTTGTTTTAAAATCTATTTATTTATTTGAAAGGAAGAGTTATGGGCAGGCAGGTGGGGGCGGATCTTCTAACCAGTGACACTCCCCAAATGGCCTGGCTAAAGCCAGGAGCTTCTTCTGGGTCTCCCACGTGGGTGCAGGGGTCCAGGCACTGGGGCCATCTTCTGCTGCTTTCCCAGGTGCATTAGCAGGGAGCTGGGTCAGAAAAGCAGCCAGGACTTGAACCAGTGCCCATATGGGATGTCAGTGTTGCAGGGTAGCAGCTTAACCCACTATACCACAACACAGGCCCCACAAAATAAAGTTTTAAAAGACATCACAAACTTAATAAATGTCCAAAATCTGCAGGAAGAAAATAATGCAATGCTACCGAATACTGCCGAATACTGCCGAATACTACCGAATACCACCGAAAGACAAAGTGGGCTGAGAGAAAAGGCGGACCGCCCACAGTCCCGGGGCGAAGGCTCACGTTATTAGACATCAATTTTCCGTTTGTTTACAGATGAAATGGCTTTCCTGGGACTAAGTAAACTGAATACAAATACAAATACAAATACAAATACAAATACAAATACAAATACAAATAAAACAGCATCCCCCGGCTACAGGGTCTCCTATAAAACGCATCTAGAAGAGTGCAGCATGAGAAGGCAGGGCAGCAGCAGAGACAGGGAAGCAGCACAGGCTCTGAGGTCCTGGCACACGGAGACGAAGCCACAGGGCAGGAGGCCCCGGAAAACCCGGAAGCAGACCTGCCAGCACCTGCGTACTGGGACAGGGAAGGTGGCCTCTCAAGTAAGCTGGGGGCGGGGCGGGGGGGCATTCCAATCACGTGGCTTTGGATATCCACAAAGACAAGACAAAACGAAATCCATTCGTCACAGCGTGCACCGAGATGTGTGTCCACGGGGGTCAGGGCTTCCAATGTAAAACGTGAAACCACCAGAAACCACAAGTCTCCACGTAAACTTGGCTCAACTGCGACACGAACTTCAAAAACAACTTTTTTAACAAGAAAATGAAAGAAAGAAATATTTTTTGCCTGGCAAAAACAATAGCATAAGGCATGTCAAACAGCAAAACCAGGGGAAACGTCACAAGAGGTTAACAGCCTTAGCATGAGCTGAAAGGCAAGGATCCACGGCCCTACAGGAAGTGAGCCCCGTGCGGGTGGTTCCTAACCACACAGAAAGACACACGACAGAAACACAGACGGGAAGCGGCCCTGCGCGTCACTCCCCCAGCACACGGGGACCACCCACAGCCACAGGCGGCTCCACGGAGGCAGCAGCCTCCCCCAGCGCCGGGCCGGGGAAGCAACACCCATCAGCTCCTGCCGAGCGGAGCCTGGCAGCTGCTACCAAGACGACACGCGGCGCTTTTACTTACCAATAATACCTTCTAGGATCCATTCCCAAGCACATTTACAAAGCTGGGAAGATGCACACACAAAGCCAGCACGAAAGCACTGCCCATCACGGCAGACAAAACTGCCACCTGTCCACCAAGCGAGGACTGGCTGGATGAGGCCTGACACACCCCAACCGAAAGGCAGGGACAGCCAGGACAGGAACGTCGTCCAGGGCACAGCAAGAGAGGGGCAGGGTGGTGAAAGTGCACGGGGAGCCACTGTGTACCTGCACTGCGCGTGTGAGACACACACCGAGATACACACACGTTTGCTGATTTTTAACCATGGAGAGAGAGAGAGCAGGAAAAAGAAAAGGATAAGGCCGGCGCCGCGGCTCACTAGGCTAATCCTCCGCCTGCGGCGCCGGCACACCGGGTTCTAGTCCCGGTCGGGGCGCCGGATTCTGTCCCGGTTGCCCCTCTTCCAGGCCAGCCCTCTGCTGTGGCCAGGGAGTGCAGTGGAGGATGGCCCAGGTGCTTGGGCCCTGCACCCCATGGGAGACCAGGAAAAGCACCTGGCTCCTGGCTCCTGCCATCGGATCAGCGCGGTGCGCCGGCCGCAGCGCGCCGGCCGCGGCGGCCATTGGAGGGTGAACCAACGGCAAAGGAAGACCTTTCTCTCTGTCTCTCTCTCTCACTGTCCACTCTGCCTGTCAAAAAAAAAAAAAAAAAAGACAAGGATAGAAGCTAGACTTCCGTTTTTTCAACATACTTTGTTTAACAGATTTTACATGGATATAGTCTACATTGTAAAACACCATCAGGTAAAAAGTAATTCCTAAAAACTCAAAGCCAAAAACAAACAGAACCTGAATGAACCCAAGCCGACCCAGCTGGCGCTGCGCACTCAGCCTGCCCACGGGGAAGCTGCTCCTTCCGGCACGCCACACACACATGAGCGGTGAGCCGAGATCCACCGGGAAGGGCCCAGGACAACAGACAGCCAGCAGCAGGGCGGCACCCCGCCCTTCCTGGCAGCCATGCCTATGGCAGTCAGTGAGAACATCCCCAGGGACAGCCAGAGGTGAGGAAACCAACCTCCCCCAGGGCTGCCCTCCCACCATAGCCACCCCACATGCAGAGTTAGCCGGCCCTTGTCACCGCACTCAGACAGCCAAGTCCACAATGGACAACGGCTTCTTAGGAGGCACTGAGAGTCCTCCCAGGCCAACTCAAACTACCAACCATTTTACTCGCAAGAGGGACCACTCAACCAGAGAGGAGTGTCACAGTCCTGGCAAAGTGCGAGTGCCGCGCGAGGGTGGCTCCTGGCCGTGGGTGTCGGCCCAAGTGGGCAAGGAGGGCCATGTGGCCCTGGGAACAAAAGAGAATCTTCTAAGGCCAAGGGAACCAGCTGTCTCACTGCTGAAGAGAAAGTAATTCATCTGGACAGGGAGAAACTGGATGAGCCTTCTGGTGCTAGCCTGGATTCCAAGTATCAGCGTACACACAGAAACATAAACACGGAACACGCGTGTGAGCTCAGCCTGGCCCGGGGGAGGGGCTGCAGCAGGATCACCCCAAACGCAATAAACACTCCTGGAGTCCAAGTCCTGGTTTCTGCATACCACTCTCACCGAAAAGACACCAAGACTCCTTGAAGACATGACTCACTCCAGAGACAGGCAAACCACATGAGCCCAGAAAACAGGGCGTACACGACAAAGCGGGAAGTGCACACGGAGCGTGCAGACAGCTCAGCACAGGCTGGCCAGAAAGGCTGCCACAGCCCAGTCTGAGACGAATCGAACATCAAAGAACAATGACAACAGCGTAACTCACTGAGCTGACTCAGGATCAGACGGGAAACCGCGAGACCGCACTCACAAACACACTGCCGATCTGGGGTGAGGGCCAGCTCCGTGCGTGGTGGGTTAAGCCACCCTGCGATGCCGGCATCCCACATGAGCACCGGGGTGGATCCCAGCTGCTCATTTCCATTCCAGCTCCCTGCTAACACACCTGGGAAAGCCTCAGAGGATGGCCCAAGTACATGGGCCCCTGCCACCCACATGGGAGACCCAGAAGCTCCTGGCTCCTGGCTCCAGCCGTTGCAGCCATTTGGGGAGTGAACCAGTGGATGGAAGACCTCTCTCTCTACTTCTGTCTCTCTAACTCTGCCTGTGAAATAAATAAATAAATCTTAAAAAAAACAAAAAAGAAGAAGTGCGATGGAGAACAGGACACAGACATGACTGCAAAGTGCCTCTTACTAATTACGGAGGGGCAGAGATCGCTTTACGATGGGAACCTGGCAGACACCACCTTCCCCAAGAGTCAGAGGACCTGGGAGGTGATGAGGAGGCAGCCGCACCTGCGTGACCCCGCACAGCCAGCACCTGTCTCTCCAGCTGCCGCTAGCCCCATCATCACCCGCTTCATCTGAAGCAGGAAATGCCTCCTCATACAGAGGAAGTGAGGGTGACGGCCCAACGTGCAGGGTCCGGGGTGACAGCACCACCACTCCCCGTGCTGCCACAGAAGCAGTGGCCAACAGTCAGCCAGCAGCCACAGCGCCACTCCTCACGTCCAGAGGAACTCTCCCTGGGCCCGACCCTGCCACCTTCAGGCAGTGCCAGCGGAGGGCACAGACAACACGCCCACCTGGAAACCGCCCGTGAGTGACGCGTGAAACCAATCAGCAGCTGATAATTCACTCCACACTATCATTCAACAAGAAACGGAAAACTGGACCGCAGGCAGGTTTCCCCTTATTCCTGGGGAGTGTGTAACGAGGCAGTAGGACAATCCAGCCCCGCAGAGCTGTGGGAGACAGCCCCTCTCCACTCACAAACACGGACGGACCCAGTCATCTCCTCCTGAATGTTCTCCAGGCTCCCCTATTGCTTCAACACTGCTGGCAAGAACCACTGGGACAACTCAAAACATCAACCTAGCTTCTGCACACACAGAAATACTGCTCCTTACTTGTCTCTAAACTTCAGCAAAATCTATCAGAGAAGTTTCCAACAGCAACGTGGATGTGACCGGGAGCGGCTCTGCCAGGCGGCAAGCACACAGAGCAGGCAGGAGCTGGGTTAGTCCGCGTGGACGATGCCAACCACCCAGCACCCTGACCAGGCCAGCAACCCTTTCCCAAAGTCAACAGAGCAGAGAACTTCCGAGAACCACTGATGCAGCGTGCAGGGCTCTCATGGCAGCGTCCGGGCGCACGCGGGAGGAGGAGGTCTCAGGAAGGCTTTCTCGGAGCACCTCCCACAAGCAGGCCTGCAGGAGACTCAGAACTGCTGAAACGCCCAAAGGGGTTCCCCAACCGAGACGGGATCTCTCAGGCCAGCTCAGAACACCCTGAATCCACGACTCATGCTCTCCATGCTGCAGATACTTAGAATATCAGGCTGGCCTCCCTAAAAACAGAGAAAACCCTCCTGGTTTACCACCCGGAATGTAACAACTGTACCAGTCCCATTTGTCTTCCCAAAAGCCAGCGCTGACGCCATTTAGTACACAGCCTTCCAGAGGAACACATGTATCCCCAGTGCCTCGTTTAAAACGCACGTTCTGCACGGGCCACGGAGGAGCCAGAGCCCTGCTCGTCAGAACCGCCGAGTGCAGCCTGCCCGGCCCCTCTCCGCACTGAGCCCCCTCCCTGCGAAGCAGCTGCGTACTGCTCCCTGCCCACCTCGGACAGCCCTGCCCTCCAGAGGAGGGGAGAAACGCATCTCAGGTAGGAAGAAGTCACCGGAAAACACACTCTGGCTCCAAGTAGCTACGGAAAGAAAGGTAACCATTGGTCTGATTAAAAGAAGACTGGTAAACCTTCTAAAACAATGGACGGGGAGAGAAAATTAAACACAGATCATGGAACATGGTATCAAGTGTATCTACAGGAAATGATTAAGGAATAGAAAGATAACGGAAGTTGGCCCTAGCATCCGCTATGGTAGTAACCATAACCGTATGAAAAAACCAAGAATCCCAGACAGTCCCACAGAGTACACACAGAACGACTTAAGCTATCTCAAACTAAGATTAGCTATCCCACGATGCCATGCAAGTGAGTCACTCACAGCACTCCTGCTTTGAGACAGGCGCAATCCAGACGCCACCGCTCCGATGACTGAATCAGCATCGAGCCTCTCAAAGCAAGAACACGGGGAACGACCAAATCCAGCAACGGTCAAGGACAGCAGACTTCTCAGCAAGGTGCAAGACAGAGGCTGAGAAACACCCAGGCTAACAGGCTGTGCTCTGCACACAGGCACCCACCATCACCACCACGACTTCGCGTCAAGAACCCACGGCAATGGAGTTTGACATCCTTCACCATCATCATCACTCTCACCAACTCGAGCCCCAGAATGAAAACCACACGGCCAACACCTTCTGGCTACAATACAGCAAAATCAGAAGTTCTCAAATGCCACTAAAACTTTCTCCTCTACAACTCTCCAACAACTAACTCAACTTCAGTCATTCCTACTTAATAAATAAGGACAAAGTTTAGAGTATATGATCAAAGGTAAACTAAGAATCTTAAAAGTTTACATCGCAAATCGAGGAAAAAAAATAAGGATTTGACCCAAAAAGTTTAAAACAAAAATGAGAGGAAAATAAAGATAACGGAAGATGCGATTACTCCACTAAGCAGGAAAGGCGCAAAGAAGAGCTGACGAAGCGACTCAAAAAAGACCAGAGAAACAGACCCTCCAACGAGCGCCGCTGAAAGACAAACCCCAAGTCCCGAACAGAACCGAGACGGTGGCCGTGGGCCCCGGAGGTGACGCGGCCAGGCTCCCGGCACAGTACTGACCTGATGAGAGCCTTCAGGATGTCGGCCCTCCCCACGCGGGAGGCGTGGTAGACAGGCGTGCTGCGGTGGTGCCGGCTTCCGTTGGGGTCCGCGCCCGCTTCAAGAAGGATCTGGGCACTTTCCAGGTGCCCGTTCACCACGGCCACGTACAGGGCGGTCTGTCCCTTCACATCCACCAGGTCCACCTCGGCCCCCTTCCGGATGAGGAAATCCACGCAGTTGCCATGGCCTGCGGTGGCGGCAATCCGCAGCGGCGTGCAGGGCAGCCAGCCGCAACACCACACAGACTTCTCGTTGATACGGCTGCAGGAACACGGGAGTGCGTGAGGGCGGCCGCGCTGCACCCAGAGGGGGCATCCACGGTGCCCCCGAATGCGTCTGCTTTTCCGAAATGCTTTCCCATCTCCCCCTGCTGGACCTGGGCAGGGCAGGGCAGGCGCTGAGAGCCCGGTCTGCAGCGGGGGGACTAGAGGCACTGGATGACCGGCACTGGACGGCCTGAGCCACCGTCCAGCACGCCTCCCTCTACACAGGCGGGAGCGATGGACAGCACGCTGGCCTGGGAATCTGGGTCACAGCCTGGGGCCCCTTTCACCAGACACCCTGTGACGGCGCAAGGCTGGGCCTCTGGGCTCAGCATCCCCACTGAGGCTGGCACAAATAACAGCCTTCAGCATGACTAAGTGACCCAGGGCCACACTCCAGGGCAGCCACAGCAGAGGGAAGCTGTCCAGAGCCGGCTCTCTCTCGGGGAGCAGCCACACAGTGCAGCTGCCTGCGCTGTAGACCCACACGTCGACAACCGCAGGGCGGTTCCCCAAGTGCCCGACACGACTCAGGACAACCGCAGGGCGCTCCCCTCGGGTGCCCGACACGAGTCAGGACAACGCTTGGGGACCAGGGCACTGCACCAGGAACCCAGGAACACCCAGGACGTGGCCTCTCCTGAAACCAGCCCCATGCGTTGGCTTAGACTGAACAAGAAAATCAAGGAGCAGAACGCTCTGAGAACTCACTACTGACAAAATTAACAGCAACAAAAATATCAGAAACCAGAGATTCACTCAACCTGGGCATAAGAAGAGAGGCAAACAGCACCTGGGAAAGCGACATGGACATGCTTGCCGAGGCCTGGCCAACTCCATCCACTCTACACTGCGTGCCCAGGCTTAGTGCTTTTCTCTGGGCTTGAGTCATTCACAGTGAATACTGGGTGACCTCTCTGTGACAATCCTTTCTGGGCTGGGGTGGGCTGGATTCTTAATTTATCTGAGAGGCAGAGAGACGGGAGTGGTCTTATCTGCTGGCTCACTCCCCAAAAGCCCACGACAGCCCCTCTCGGACCAACGTCAGGAGCCAGGAGCTCATCAATCCAGGTCTCCCAACGACTTGAGCCATCACCACTGCCTCCCAGGGCACAGCCGCGGTCAGCTGGAGCCAGGAGCCAGAGCTGGGTGACGAAGCCAGGCTCCCCGACACGCGATGCGGGATCTTAACTAAGACTAAACACCCGCCCCTCTGGGTCTGTTCTGTTTCTAAGGCTGACACCTGCTCTGACAAAACGCCAAGACACTAGAAGGAGAAGAGGAAAGAAACCGATCCTAAACTGCTGACGCCCTCGTCTCGGGGCTGCCACAGAGCGGCAGGTTGGCTTCCAGCAGGGACATGGAGCCCTTCTTCCAGGAGCTCACGGCCAGCCCAGGCCTGAGGGGGCAGACACAGACACTGGGGGAGTCTCTGGTGCAGCTGAAGTAGAACCTAGTGGAGGCCTCAGACACAGGACAGACCCCTCCAGAGGGAAGGCGCCCAGCCCCCTCCCAGCCTCACACACAGGACAGACCCCTCCAGAGGGAAGGCGCCCAGCCCCCTCCCAGCCGGCCTGCAGGGGGCTCCGCTGCTGTGGAGGGCTGGCAGCCGCAGGGGACTGCCAATGAGGACGAGGAGAGCACCCACTGACCCCTGGGGCCGCGAGACAGCCGGTCTGAGGCTGGGCTCTGGGTGCTGGGCACAGGGCCAGGGCCAGCAAGGAGAGGGCACCAGATGCAAATAATTACGGAGGGTAAAGGTGGGTGGACAGAGCAGCTGGGATGACACAGGAGACTCGAGGGGCAGGGGCCACTACAGGGGCTAACTGTCAAGGACGGTGACGCCCAGGGACAGCCAGCTGTCAGATGGCAGATGCCCCGCCCACACTCCCACACCCCCTCTAACGTCAAGGACCGTGACACCCAGGGACAGCCAGCTGTCAGATGCCCCGCCCACACTCCCACACCCCTTCTAATGTCAAGGACGGTGACGCCCAGGGACAGCCAGCTGTCAGATGGCAGATGCCCCACCCACACCCCAGGCTAACATCAAGGACCATGACACCCAGGGACAGCCAGCCGTCAGATGGCAGATGCCCCGCCCACACCCCGGGCTAACACCAAGGACCATGACAGCCAGAGACAGCCAGCCGTCAGTTGACAGGTGCCCCGCCCACGCCCCCAGCCGGGCGTCCTCGGCCTCCCGCTCACCTGCGGTAGCTCTCCTCCTGCAGCAGGCTCCTGAGGGTCTGCAGGTCGCCCACGTAGGCCGCGTCGTGGAGCCGCGTGTCCTCACAGCGCTCCAGCGGGTGGTCGCAGAACTGCTCCCTGAGCCACTCCTTCAGATTCGGACCTGCGCTGGAGAGAGGGCTCCTGTCAGCCCGGGCCGCGCCGCGACCAGCCCCGCTCACCGCTCAGGAAAGGAGAAAGCCGCCCTCGGGACAAACGCTCCCGACACCAAGGAGGCCGAGAAAGGCGGAGGATGAGAAGCAGGATCCTAAGTTACAGAGTTGCAAACGGAAGTATAAGGCGCACCGGTATCAAACAAAGGAGGCGAGCAAGTTCCCGGATCCCGAAGACGGGAGGGGGGGGTGTACCTCCTCTCCTGCGCACCAGAAAGACACGCGGCAACCAAGGGCCACCCAACGCGGCCACGCATGGGTCCCCACCACCCCCTCCAGGCACCGGCCACAGCCGCGTCCACGTAAGGAACAAGGCACCAGACAGGCCCACCGAGCGGGCGCACTTCAACAAAACCAAGGTAAACGTGGATGCACGCGAACGGACCCAGCCCTAGACAGCGCGAGAGCAGGAGACCAGGGCGAGCGGGAACGCTCTACACGAACCCGGGCGAGAAGGCCCAAATGGGAGAAGCCTCCCATGTTTCCAATCAGTGAAGTTTAACCAATCTCTTTGGATTTTTTTATATTAAACGTGAAAGAAATAAAGCTTGGAAATATAAATACGGAGGAGTAGTTTTGTCTTTCAGTAAGAGTAACGAGGAAAGTCCAGCCTACTAGAAAATGAACTCCTATCAGAATAAAAAGATAAATAAATCAAACAGAACAAACTGCACAAAAAGACCATGGTGTAAACAACTTAATATCTGATAAGCGGGCATCAAAATCAACGCAGGTGGAATCAGCGGAGGGAAGCCCTCTGTCTCCCTCTCACTGTAACTCTACCTTCAAATAAATAATAAAAAATCAACGCAGGTGGAATCAGCGGCGGGAAGCCCTCTCTCTCTGTCTCCCTCTCACTGTAACTCTACCTTCAAATAAATAATAAAAAATCAGTGCGGGTGGAATCAGCGGAGGGAAGCCCTCTCTCTCTGTCTCCCTCTCACTGTAACTCTACCTTCAAATAAATAATAAAAAATCAGTGCGGGTGCAAAGAGCATTCAACAGGCAATATCACACAACGAGGAACCCACTTGGAAATAACTGAGTCCTTCACCTCCCATCTCAGCCAGAAACGCACCACAGCCCAGAATAAGCCCCGGGAGACTCACAGCAAGACAGATGGGCGTGTCCCGTGACAACCAGGAACCCAAGGCTGCCTGGGTTCAAGCCCCCCCTGCCTCGGTGCGACCACGTGGCCAGGCCACCCTCGTGGGGCACTCGCTCCAGATGCCCAGTTACCTTCTATATTCAGACCAAACCTCCCCGTACACCTCCCGCCTACGAACAGCCGCAGGTGCGGCAGGAGTGAGAAGAGCAGCCTTGCCGGGCAGAAGAGGCCACAGGCCGTGGGCCTGGCAGCGGGCACGGCTCACGGCACACGGCGACCCACACTGCCCCACGGAGGCATCCAGCAGGCGACACCCACGAGGCGCCTGCGGGCCCCCTCAGCCGTCAGGCCCCACAGCTGCCCATCACTGCAGAGTGAGAAAGGTCGACGCAGGAGCAGGAGCGCTTCGGCACAGGCCGGTGACTGGCACAGGACAGCGCACCGTCCCCGGGCCTTTCCCAGCGGGTGCCTCGTAACCCAGCCCGCGGCCGGCTCAAGTTCCCCGGCGCCAGACTCACGGCCAGCTGTCCAGCGACAACAGTTAGCCCGGCCAGCCCGCAGGAACTCAGGGACGGCCTGCTGGCCCCGCTGCAGACAGCACACAGCCCTGTGCACAGGGAAAGCCGGCCGCCTCCACACGGCCCCTCCTGGAGGCGGAAGGAGCTGCCAGACCACCTTCCTGCCGCCCGCAGGATGTGGCGACCCAGGCTCCGGGGTCCCCGCCGTCCCTGGGGTCGGTCAGTACCAAGCAAAGCCCAGGCCTTAGGGGAACTGTCTGGCTTACTCAGTCCAGGCGGGGGCGGGGAGGGGGAGGGGGAGAAAGAGGAGAAGGAAGGG